GGAGAGAGCGACAGTGAGGCACGCAGGCAGGCACGCTCGCTCACACCTCTTGATCGATGCAGAAGGATTCCCCGAGGAGGTGGCCCCCCAGAGGACGAGGAGCTTTTCCTCCCAAGGGTCCGCCTACATGTCCTCCTACTCCCGAAGCTCCGCCGCCTCCCCTTCCCTCGGGTCGGAGGGGAAGAAGAAGAACCCGATGGCTCTGACTGCCCTTGAGGTAGTGCAGAACTGTCCTGCTCCCGCTCCTGCTCCTGCTCATACTCCCGCTCCTGCTCATACTCCCGCTCCTCCTCCTCCTCCTCCTCCTCCTGCTCCTGCTCCTGCTCCTCCCTCTCTTTCTCGCTCTCATTCACTCACAGGTCATCAACATGTTTCGAACTCTCGATCTCAACGGGGATGGTGAGATTACGCACGCGGAATTCATCAAGGGGCTGAAGAGAAACCCTACCATCGGAGAGAAGTACCGGAACCCCTCTTGCTCCTTCTCCTCCTCCTCCTCCTGATCCTCCTCCTGATCCTCCTCCTGATCCTCCTCCTCTTCCTTCCCGGCTCGTGATCCTGCTCCTCCTGCTCCTGATCCTGCTGCTCCTGCTCCTGCTCCTGCTCCTGCTCCTGCTCCTTCTGCTCCTGCTTCTCCTCGTCTACTTCTTCATCCCTCCTCCTTCCTCTTCTTCGTTTTCTCAGTCTTTCCTCTCCTCCTTCCTCTCCTCCTTCTTCGTCCTCAATCCTCCCCAGGCTCGGGATGCCGAGCGAGTTCCGGCTGGAGGAAGGCACCCGTCAGTCCTACCAGCTCACCTTCGGTACCATCGACAACGACGGCTCCAAGAGCATCGATCTCTCAGAGCTCCTGCACTTCTACGGTCACCTCTCCCTTGCCCAGCCCGAGCTGAGGAACCTCCTCCTCCTCTGTGGGTACAACGAGCAGGCCATCGAGCTCATCCTCGGCCGTGCGGGGCTGCTGTCCATGTCCGTCTCCTCCTTCTCCTCCGCTGGATCCTTCGGCCAGGTCTGTAGACCGTCCGCTCCTCCTCCTCCCCTCCCCAGCCTTCTTCTCTTCCTCCTCCTTCCTCCTCCTCCCCCTCTCCAACCTCCTCCTTCCTCCTGCTCTCCTCCTGCTCTCACTTCAACTCCTCCTTTTCTTCCCCTGCTCCTGCTCTTACCCCTCATCTTCCTGTTCCTCCTCGTCGTTCCTCCTCTGCTTCCCCCCTCCTCTTCCCTTCTTCTACCTCTCCCCCTCTCACCTCCATGCTCAGCCGCAGGATGAGAAGTCGAGGGCTCAGAGGAGGGAGGAGATTCTGCGCAAGAAGCGGCGGGACGCGTACATCAGGAGCATAGGAGGAGAAGTGTCGGGGGTCTCGTCGCCGAGGGGAGCGAAGAAGCAGGAAGAGCAAGGTAGAGCGCCGCCATGGTTTAGGAAGAGAGGAAGGAGAGAGGAGGGAGGACGAGGAAGCAGGCAGAAGAATGCGGGCAGAGGAAGGAGAAGGGAAGGAGGAGGAGGAAGGGGAGGAAGGAGGGACGAAGGAGAAGGAAGGAAGGAGGAGTGGAGCAGGAGGAGGGAGGTAGCAGGAGGGTGGCAGAAGGTAGGGAGCAGGAGGGAGGTAGAAGGAGGAGCAGGAGGGAGGTAGGAGGAGGTAGAAGGAAGCAGACAGGAGGAAGGGGGAAGGATGAGCATGACTATCGCGCAGTTCCAGCAGCGAAGCCGCTGACGGCGCTGGAAGTGATCGACTTGTTCCGTACGCTCGACCTCAACGGAGATGGAGAGATTACACATGCGGAGTTTCTCAAGGGACTCAAGGCAAACCCGCTCATCGGGGAGAAGTAACAACCACTCCTCCTGCTCCTGCTCCTCCTGCTCCTCCTGCTCCTCCTGCTCCTCCTGCTGCTCCTGCTCCTGCTCCTGCTCCTGCTCCTGCTCCTGCTCCTGCTCCTGCTCCTGCTCCTGCTCCTGCTCCTGCTCCTGCTCCTGCTCCTGCTCCTGCTCCTGTTCTTGCTCTTGCTCCTGCTTTGCTTTTCCTCCTGTTCCTAGTCCTAATCCTGCTCTTGCTATTCCCCTCCTCCTCCTCCTCTTCCTCCTCCTTCCCCCTCCTCCTTCCTCTTCCTCTCCTAGTCCTCTTCCCCCCCTGATCTCCTCCCCCTACCTCACCCTTCAACAACAGGCTCGGCATGCCCTCAGACGTCAGGGCGGAGGACGGCACTCGAGACTCCTACCAGCTAACCTTCGGGAGGATCGACAACGACGGGTCCAAGAGCATCGACCTGACGGAGCTGTTGGGATTTTATGGCCACCTCTCCCTCGACCCGTCCGAGCTCAAGAGTCTGCTGTCGCTCTGCGGTTACGATGAAGAGACCATCGAGCTCATCTTCGGGCGCGCTGGTTCCTGCACCTCCTCCCGATTCCCTTCCTCCTCTCCTCCTCGTTATCCTCTCCTCCTCCCCTCCCCTCCTCCCTTTCTTCGTTCTCCTGTCCTCCTCTTCGGCCCCTCTCCAGACCTCTCCTCTTCCGCTCCACTTCTCCTCTCCTTTTCCTCCTCTTCTTCTCTCCTCTTCTCTCCTCTTCCACTCCACTTCTTCTCTCCTTTTCCTCCTTGTCTCCTCTTCTTCTCTTCTCTTTTCTCCTCTTCTCTCCTCTTCTGCTCCCCTTCTCCTCTATTCCTCTTCTTGCTATCCTCCTCCTGCTCTCGTCCTGATTCTCCACTCATCTTCTTCCTCTGCCTTCTGGCTATCAACACCTCACATACTCTAAGGACTGATCTCCATGACCGTCTCCTCCGTCTCTTCCGACGAGCTCATCGAAGCCGAGGTCTGCTGCCTCCTCCTGCTACTGCCTGTGCTGTTGCTCCTCCTGCTCCTCCTCTAGCTGCTCCTGCTTCCACTCCGCCATGCAAGTCTGAACGTGCGCAGGAGACAACTGGCGATCGTGCTGTCCTCAACATCCCACGGTGCCCCTCCTTCCTTCCTGCCGGCTGCTCCCTTCCTCGCTCGCTCCCTCCCTCCCTCCCTCCCTCCCTTCTCCGCTCCTCCGCCTCCCCTGTCTCTAAAATCTCGAGCAGGGAGCAGAGGAAGGCAGAGCAGTTGAGAAAGAAGAAGCGCGACGAGTTCCTGCGCCGCATGCAGATGAAGACTGACAGCGGCGGCTCTGCCCAGCAGCCTCCCCTGCTGATGAAAGAGCGAATGCCCTCAGCTGGAACCCTCCTCAACTTCCCCGAGAAATACTTCGGCGATGACGTCGGGGGAGCTGGGAAGGGAGCAGGAGCAGGAGCAGGAGCAGGAACAGGAACAGGAGCAGGAGCAGGAACAGGAGCAGGAGCAACAGGAGGAAGAGGAGGAGGGGTGGGAGGAGGCGTTGGTGGAGGTCAGCTGGAGAAGAGGGAGAAAGGAGGGGGAGACAGGCTGTCCAAGGTCAGAGAAGACAACGAGTTGACACAGAGGGCCCTCCAGAACGTCAAACCCTCGTAATGCGAGAGGGGG